TATTTAAAGTACTTCATATTTTTAAACTTAGTTAAGTAATACACGACCCCACAAGCATGTAGTTTGCTTTAATTACTGATTGTGTTTAAATAAAGGATTTTACTTACTCACTTACCTACTTACTTACTTACTTACCTCACTGGGTCGTGACAAGTAGAAGAAGCTGATCGGTTCACGGGCCTCTTTACAGCTTAACTGTAACATTTTGATCACTGCAGCCCGGCCTGGGATTGTATGAGTGACTATTTGAGTGACAAATTATAAAAGTTAGAAAATCGCGCAACCAGAGTAATACCTAAATCACCTTCTGATACGAGCTCCAACCTCCTTCTAGCGATGCTTAAGTGGGAGAAGCTGTCTCTTCGTGGTAAAAAACAGAAAGCTTTAATCATGTATAAAACATTGAATGAACTTGCCCCAGAATATCTTCAATTTCTTTTCACTCAACGCCATGTTAATGATTATAACTCAAGAAATCTTGAAGGAAAACTCTCGCTGTCCAAGCCAAATACTAATTACTTGAAACGAAACTTTTGTTATAGCGGGGCTTGTTTGTGGAATAACTTGCCCCAAGATCATTTGGAAGGCGTTGGTTCTATTGGGCAGTTTAAACGGGGTATTAAGAAGGTATCCGAGAAGTCGGATTCCTACACGGCAATCATGTAAAACAGTTGTAATAGTTTTAGTTTTTTACCTTTAGCTTAACTGATGATTCTCCATGTATAAATAAAGTTTTACATTACATTACTGTAACATGGAAGGTTTCAATGTGAAAGCCTCCGACCTGGATTACTCCAAGGCTAGAATTGGTATTGTGACCAACGACGAAAATGATTGCATCTCGTGCAACTCAAGGATCGGATTTGGCACGGGAGGGAGACCTGGCTACTCAAAGACGTGTGGTAAGGAGGCGAGTGTGAAAGGATCAGACAATGGAAAAAAAAACATCACCGCCATGGGATACCTTCTGGTACAATAAGAATAATCTGGTATTAACAACCTCGTAATTAGTTTCATCACACGGTTACAGATGATGTCACCGCATATCTCGGACGTGGGAATATGTCCCTAGACGTGGGGCCTGCTTATCGAGATTCCTGTTTCCTTGTAGCTAAGTTTCAGAATCTTTGGAATAGTTGTGAGGTCCTTTGTTCTAAAACCGATGTAGTCTGTTTTCTTTCCTGGTATTTCTTATTGTTTTAGTTTCAAACCCGTTTCAAAAATTCTCCACATTAATGTAAACACGACAATTAATTGCAAGAAGAGCGGGAATTTTCAGAAATGGGTCTCTGGACTTGTTTCAGTGTATTTTAGCTTAGATTTGCGGACGCAAACCTAGCGGCTTGTATAATTATGCCTTTTAGTATTATTGGATTTATTGTATTATATTTTAGTACTATCATGTTTTGTAAATAGCTCTGTAATTCAGCCATTTTGTATATTGCTGCAATGAGTCTTAATAAACAGTCTTTATAATTGTTAACAAATAATGTTAACAAATTGTTAACAAATAATTGTTAACGAAATAATGGTTGTTAAGCAATGCAATTAGCTAGTAACCGTGTCTGGAAGATGTTTCTAAGATTATTACGAACATCACATGGTAAACAGCCAATAGGCGGATACTGAGGTGGTGTTGGGAGGTCTCTAGTCTCTTCGACTCCATTTTGATAGTCTGAGTACTCTCAGGACCCAGCCAAACCTAATTGGTTAGAGCTGTCAGTAGTAATGACTTGTACGCGAGTTCATCAAACGTTCTACAAAGTCTTAGTCTGTGTGTTAGGAACTGAAACAGATGATGATTTCCAAACAAATTGATATATGAAACAACGGAATTTAGATTAAACAAGACCGTTTTTCCGAGGTAAGCGTGAAAATCGCAAGAAATACAAGCGCGATAT